ACAGAAGTTTGCTATCGATAATTGATAAAAGATTTCGAATATTTGGAATTTTGTTTTAATATTGAGTTTTTTGCGCATTTGACTCATAAAGTGTAAGTTCAAAATTAGAATTATTCAATCAGGACTTTATTATGTTTCAGAAGGCCTGAGTAAAAACAGCATATTAAACAATGAAGATAGTAATCTTTGTTATACTGATTGTCGGAGTGTGCGGAGAATGGTGGAAGAATGAAGTCAATCTTGAAGATTTCTTGAATAAATTTGATCCTGAGGTATGCTAGTATGATATTTGAGATTCTCATGTAGTATAGTGCCGACTAAAAGACTGAGGTCATTCCGGCGATTATTCTAATCAAACACCAAAGTTATTATCCTATATCAACTTTTATGCTTATATTTCACATTGAAATGCTATTTTCAGATCTCTGAGGACTTTGCAAGGAAGTTTGAATTCCCGAAAGAAAAAGGGCTTGATTTCAAATACACTCCAGTATGCAGAAAATTCAAGTAATTTGTATTTTTTATTTAAATTTGTTTATATTCCCGCTGAACCACATAAATTTTTATTACTACGTATGTTTTTTTTTTTTTTCAATAAAAATTGCCATATCTTGGAAAGCAAGTATAGATCAGTATACTATCTTCAAAATCTTCAGATTAAACAACAACATAAATTGCATATTAAACATATTATATGTTTATTTTAAAAAGGAATCCTAGTAAGAAAAGTGACTATTTTTCTTGGTGACTTTGATATTTGACATTTCTCGTACAGCAGATAATGAAATGACTTCATTCACAGACTATTCCCTCTCCCGAAAGATTCATGTCCAGTCCCCAAAGGCTTCACTGATAAATGGGTGAATGGTTGCGACGAGAGAAAATGTATTCAGAAATCCTTCTACGGTTCAACAAAATGCAGAAAGGTCGTTCGATTATTCAAGCCTTTTCCTCACGCTGCAGTTGAATGCAAGTAAGTTCTTTGTTAATTGTTATCAACAGAGGAGAATTGAATAACTTAATTTTTATAATATATGATTCAGGATTATTATGATCATCTTAAAAATGATAATGGTCGATGTGAATACAAAATGGCTTCAATATGAACAAGCGTTTGGTGCAAAATATTTTGAAAAAATGAAAACTAAGAAGAAGAAAGTAGCAATTAACACCAAAGCATGAGCGTGGATATGAATATTTAAAGAGAAATAGTGACAGGGCATTGAAACTAAAATATAATGCCCAGTTTACCATAATTGTAACTCAAAATAAAGTATAAATGTGTATTTACGGTACGTGCGAAATATATGAAGATTGTCATGTTTTAGGATATAATTTGAATAAATTGTATAATTACAAATTTTATTTTCAAGAAAAACGAAAGAAAGCTGTAAGTTTGTAAAACCCCATGATAACAAGGATCCACCAAAAGATGGGAAACCACATTTTTATCCGGCATCTTCGAAGGAAAAATTTGAACTGTATCCTACGCCAGAAAAAGATGAGGAAGTCGAAAAACCGTCGTGTGAATGTTTCACTATTTGGTGCTTCCGTGACATACACACCATCTACGAAGACCATGGAAAGCTATACGAAGGAGATGTTGCCATTAAGGTTCGTAGTTATCGTAATTTATTAGTTCAATGTTTTTTTCAAGCGACCCGCATATTTCAAAAACATAAATTTGTAAAATCACGTGACACCAAGGGTATGCTCACGTAGTGCTCTTGGGGCCGCAAAATTAAATTACTAATACAAAACAAACAATTATACAGAACATTTATTTTAGCAGAAATTACTTCAAAGTGAGAAAGCTTTGCTTGTTTGTCAGCTGAAAGTTTTTAAGATCGTGGCGTGATCGTGGATCTTTTAGATTTTACTGCGCTTTTATTTAAGCTCTGTCATTTTGCATGTCCAATGCTTTAATTGTCTTGAGCCTTCTATTTTTAATGTTCTATTGATTTATGTACTAAATTGGTTCTAAAATTCGTAAAACTATTTTTTCAGACGCCGTGTGGATGCGACTGCAGAGATTATCGTCTTTATGGAGGAACGGATTCATAAAAATCCAAAAATATGGAATTTCTGCAAAATTTTGTTTCATGTGAAGTTGAACATTTATATCCATAAATGATTTGAATTATCTGTGAAATAAATTAAATGCAGTAATAATGTGTTTCGTAGTGCTTATTCCATATGATAGAGCAATAGAATCAGTATCAGGGTAGGATAGTTCAAACTTGACACTTAACTGCCTGTATGCGCATGCTTTTATCATCAACATTTTAATAGAAAATCTTATACGAAAGAGGCAGAGCCGTGTAAGACTATATGCAGTACCGCAAACATAAGAAAAAATATTTTTCAGTCTCAACTACATATAAAGAGCAATCTAGCTTTATTCTATAAAAGCTACACAAGATGTGTACTAACAATCATCTGTGACATAAATTTATGATTGGCATTTATAGGTAAGTCTTTATCAGAAATGGAAAATAATACAAAAAGGTTATCTAATTGAAATTCATTATATTGTAAAGTGAGCTCTGTGATAGTATCAGCATATATGAACCGACAAAACATTATCAGCCCAAAAATCCTTTGCGTTCGCTGGTAGTAGCTTGTAACGCAAAATGCAACTTGCCTAGCAAATCAAATGGCTTGTTAACGACAAGACTATTTTAGATGTCGTGCAATAATCTTATCTGCCAATCCAGCTAGAATGCGCGTTTAACATTACCTCGGCAGTAAAATATTGTTCGAAAATCACATTTAATTTCAGACATTTTTTGTAAAACCGAGCGGAGTAAATATTTGGGTCTTTGAAATTTTGTTTGTGATTTATTTCACATAGCATGTGAACCTCATTGACGCTTGTGTGTGTTTGTGATCTGATAATATCTCATTTCATATTTCTCTATTCATGAGATTTTCTATTTTAATATACCATTACTGTTCAGAGATTCAAATAATTTTACGATACTTCAATCGCGATAAGAGTGGTGTATTTTAGTGGTCGTTTGTCAGTGCAATCACATTTCTCGGGTAATTGATCTGGTTGAATTTACAAATTTGCAAGACAAATAATTTATTTTGCTCAAATTGACATTTTCACATAATATATGTTTATTATCAAATAATAAACACCAGATTTTATATTGAATATTGCTGGGATTACATACCCGCAGATATGCGCTGCTAGATCACGAAAATCAGATAACAACAATTCATTAGGTCTCATGAACTCCAGAAAAGGCACAAGTGATTTCAATCTACATTTGAAATTTTACGTAATCAGAAGTCGACCTCGCTTTTATTGCAATTCTGATTGGTTGTATAATCTAGTACTTTTATAATCTAGTAATTTTTATTTTTGAAGAGCGTATGGATGACCGCTTTTGTCAACAATTCATCTGGTCAGCACAAGCGGAGCCTGTATATTTTTTAAATTATGTAATAAAAATGATTTATGTAATTGCATATTCGAGAAAGTTAATGGCAATATTTACCTTTTTTACAATTTAAATCCGATCCCGCAAGGGGCCAAGCGTAGAATATGACCTATGACCCTCCCGGTTTATTATCAAATCAACAACGGGATATCCTAACGCATAATGTAATATCGAAAATTATATTGTCGCCATTTAATAAGAGTGATGATTGCGGTTCGAATTTTTAATCTGCTTCCATCAGAGAAATGAAACCACGCGTGTCCAGTGCCAGCTTGTCTTGAGTATTTTATTTGTAATGATAATACCGAAGTGACCAAATATTAACTTATTTCCAGACATTGTGTGGATCCGTCTGCAGAAAGGCATACACATACTATTCAGAAAAAATGGTCGAGAGAAATGGTCAAATTTTCAAAGAAATGGAATATCTGTCGAAATACTGTTAAATATAAATTTGATCATTTATGTATGTAAATGATATTCATTATCTGTGAATTACAATTGAATGCGGAAATAATGTGTCTCGTCGTATTTACGCCAAACGATTAAGCAGAAGGTCAGTAATGGGATTGTCCAAACGTTACACCTATCTGATTGAGAATACCTTTTCACACAACCAGTAATAAGATCTAAGCGTTTAGAAATAAAAACAGATACATAACTCTAATACCTAACTTTTGAAACACTAAATATGACGTTAGTTGTCAAGTTTGTTGCACGTAACCATTTCCTGCGTAACCATTTGTCAAGTCTCGCGACCACCTCAAAAAGGACTAACTAACAATAAGCTACAAATAACAGATAGAAAGTATGTTTTATTCAAAAACACGTTGAAAATACATGGATCGAACGTAAATATTGAAATAAATGGAAAGTTTTGAAATGTAAATAACCAAAATAAGGCGGGAAAGATCAAATCTAAAAAAATATTTTTACTTTTAATTAGTTTCACGCTGTCACGCCCCCTCAAAGAATTGTCTACGCCCCCTTGTGGGCCGCGCCCCATCGTTTGTGAAGAAATGGCTAACTTCTAAAGCGAAAAAAAAGAGGGTTCGCTGATTATCACGACAATCCAAGAGCGGGTTCGCCTGAACCCCTTGAATCCCACCACTTAACTGAAGACGACATAACCAAGACAAATTGAAAAAGTTGTTTACACGCCGACTGATGTAGAGTTGAAAAATTCGGTTCGTCAAGTCATCGGAGTAGGTTGTTTAACTAAGATCCAACAGTAACCTGAGATCAATTTAAACTCACAGCAATGGTGCTTTTTTCGTGTCTTACAAACTCTAGCCAGGCATCAAACTTGAATGTTTCATGACATTCACGCTATTTCAAGCCCTGGTAGATTTACAATGAAAGGAGGGTTATTTTCCTTAACAGAGACATAAAAGCGAATAAGTGACAGTGTCGATTTTTGAGATACCTAGAGTCAAAGTAGGATGCCACCATCTTCAATTTTTTAGACGTGATTAATCAAATACATAGACGAGTCATAACATATGAATGCAGCAAAACATCATAATGGGGTGCAAAACAATCTGAATGCAGCAAAAAAATGTTCGTCGACGTTCGTCAATATACCAATGTTGACTAAATTTCTACAATAAGTTAGAAACGCATCATTTTTATAACACAAAATAAGCAACACCATACTAGATCATTTATTTATTGTACAATAAGGTTAACGTGAGTGTTTAAAAATCTGGGCTGTTTTTAGTAATTTAACAATAAATAAGAATTAAATATCAGCAACAAAGCATCTTCTTGATACAGTTTAAATTATTATGAAATAAATTAAAATATATCACAAAAATGATTAAAAAAAAAAAAGAAATTGATTAGATTGTCGGAAACCTTTGTTTAACACCTGCAGAGTTTATAAATCAAAGCATATCGTACAGCAATTTGTATTCTTGCCTTGCGCTTTCTTTCTCCATTGTATACATATCAAAAATTGAAAATAAAAAAGTCTCGCATTATACGCATACGGATCCGCTAGCGCAAAAGCATGGAGAAAGAAACTCACTCAACCCTAACTGACATTTAAAAGAGTCTTATTTCTTTTTTCTGAATTTCATTTCAGTAAACTTTAAGTAATTGAATTTATTCCATTGATCCCAAACAATTCCTTTGTTTGAATTTCTAACATTCTTGAAATACTTGCCGTTTAGATTTGACCCTGCGCCACAGTTATTATACCACCAACCCCCAGAAAATTTGTTTGCACAATTGTCTTTGCTCGATTTATCATAATCAGCATCCCTAGTAGTAAAATTCATTCCGTTGTTTGAACCGAATGAATCTCTTGCGTTTCCTGTGTATCCACTAACTGTGATTTTATATTTTTCCTTGGCCGATCCAATCGAAAATGTTCTGCAAAAAAACACGAAGTATATTTCCTTCCAATACATTGGCTTACTTATTTACATAGATCAGTAAAATCTAATACAATGCTCCGTCTAATTTTGACAGTATAAGTAGAATTCATTGCCGAAAATGTTAGGGAGGTGCCGTACGACAAGCAAACCGTCTCACGCCACTTTTTATGGCTTTAAAAATAGGTAGTTATATAGACTTATATTTCTAAATTTAACATTATTTCGAATTTAAAAGAGAACAAGATTAATAATAAATATATGTACCCGTAATTCGCATAAACTTTGTGTCCTTTAAAATCTTCTAAATCAATTCTAAGTTCATTATTTCCACCTTTTGTTAATTTGTAGACCAGTTCCTACCCTTAAAAATGAATGAAGATATGTATATTTCATCATATTAGGTTGATAGATAATTTAGTCTCAATTACTCCTATTATCTCTCGAAAACTTGTTTTTTGCAAGTTTGGGTTCCTTTGTGTTTCAAAAGCAATATATTAGAGTAAACTTAGCACGGAAAGTCACTATACTACTACTATTTCTTGTGCGTTTGCAACACTCTATAGCAGGGGTTGGCAACTTTTTGTCGCTCGCGGGCCAAAATTAAGAGTTGCAAGTCATAGGCGAGCCGCACAAATTTTTAAAAAGTTCAAAACCGAACGGATGAAACTTTTAATGATAAAAATCAAGCAGTGATACATTTCTCAAACAGAATAAAGATTTATTTCCCTATTGCATTGCATCTGAAAAATGGATATTTTCGGCGCCATTGAAACCTTGTACTTACCTTCATTTGTCTAATCATAATTAAATTATAGGATCATTAAACGAGTATTTTTGAATTTTATACTTTATAATATAATTTAGGCCAGACGTGTCTTACAATAAATTCTGTTACCGAATAAATGTAATCGTCAAAACAGCTGTTTTGTTACTATAACTCAGTGAAGCGTCGCGGGCCGGGTTATATTACTCGTAGGTTGCCGACCCCTGTTCGTTAGTCTTGCTCTGAGGTTGCTCCTTTTAAATTCACTTTACATAACGCTTAACATAGTTTACTCAACAACCGAGAACTATATCGAGGGGAAATTGCGTCAACCGCAATACCATAATGGATTTCTTCCATAATAGGAAACGAAAGCAGTATTAACTAAAGTCTTATAATGGGCTTACAACTTACCAAGCCACATATCCCTATCTGCATCTCCAAACCCAGTTTTGTACTCTTTCCATGTTCTGTCAAATTTTGTGGAACCGTCCATCCGTCTTTGAAATACCTATGAAATTGAAATACTATTAACTAGAAGCTAAGTAAAATGTAAAGGCTATAAGCCTACACCACTTTACTATATCTTGCATCATTCAATAATCATACCAGCGTTTTGCTCTACTTTTCACTCATAAAGAGGAATTTTACATAAACTCACTGTCCAGCCTCCCCCATCCGTTTTGAGATCGCAGTAAACTTCGATAGGTCGATCTTCTGATTTCATGCATATATCAAACACACCACCGGTTGTATTTCTTACTCTGGCTTTTTCATGGAAAGCATTTGAGCAATCAGTTGGCAAATCTGAAACATAAGTAGTGTTTGATGTTTCTGACAATACAGAGAATTGAAAAAAAACGACAAATATATATATATATATGAAACATGAATATAAATAATTAATAAAAGTGTCACCTGGAGCCGTTTTGCATGTAATCTTGGTAGTAGTTTCCAAATCGGTAGATTCTTCAGAAGTGGTTCCTAATTTCACTGTAGTGGCCAGAGTCGTTTGCGTTTTAGTGGTAGTCGGTTTGGAATGCCAGTCGGAGGTATCAACTGCAAAAAAACGCAATTGTATTCACTATTCAATTTGCACTTCCACGTTTAAGCGAAATAAACAAAGATACAGTATTTTTTTTCATTTATCTGACAAGCCGAAGATGTAGTACTTCAATTTACACAAACTTTTTTGAAGTGGGGTTTGTCTGTTTTCATCAGCATGTTCCCCAGATTTTCTTTTTAGGGATGCGTCCTAATTTAGAGGGTGGGGCATGTTTTGATATTAGCGATGAAACTGACTATCTGCACCGGTATATACGTCACTTTCTAGATGTTAAAAAACAATTATTTCCAGAAGTTATATTGAGTTTTCGCGCGTCAAAATTAGGGGGATGTTTGTAATTTTAGGGGATGAAGGGGGTTCTTCTATATGGGGGTTGGGGTGGAGAAATTAATAGTTATGGCATATAAACGCGAATATAAAAGTACATATTACCTGGTGTCATAGTTGTGGCAGCGTCGTGATCAGAAGGGATTTCATTTTCAATATCGGCCCCGGTAGTAGTAAAATCTTGTTGAAAGGTACTTGTAGAGTCAAGTTTAACCGTGGTTCCAGGACTTGTAGTCAGTGGTGGTTGTTTAATTTTTGAGCCATCATTGAGCACCAGCTCTGTAGTTATCATCAATTCATCTTTCATATTCTCATTCAAAATATCGGTAAATTTCTCTTCCAACTCTTTTCGCAAATCTGGAGAATAGTAGGTTTAATCTTTTTTCATAATTCCGATACTGCATAATGTATATGAATAAAACTGTATTTTTTACATAATTATAAACCATTTACAGCTATCTGATGAAAATTGAAGATACAGGAATATTCAACCTTAAAAATAACCACTATTGCGTAATTCTTGCTACGTGCAATATATTGAAATCATTATGAATATCGTAACATCCAGGAAACTATTTATTTGAGTTCACACGTAATATTAAAATTACAACTTTTTGATGCAAATTTCTCATTATTATTTCCTTGTGTGTAAATATGTTAATTATGAACCATCCGTAAGAATTGTGATTGGTTTTACTTTTCGGGTGATAAAACAAGAAATTTTAAGTCAAAACTCAATAAATTTTTTTATGAGGATAGGTATTGAAAAATTTGCCAGTTCTACAAAACAGTGTGTTTCCTCGTTTTGAACTTAGGTCATAAACAGGCCTGAGCATGAGTCAAACTCGACCCAAAACGTCCGGCGTGCTATTAATCTGCCACGGTTGTTCTCTTTTAAATTTTCCTCAAAGTTCATCACTGACGAAGGTTTGAAATAATAATGTATATAACACCGTATAATCTGCCAAATTGCTATTTCATTTTGTTTATATACAAATGTTCACATTTCTAGTGATTAAATAGAAATATGACGCACCATTGAATAGTATTGAAAATAAAAATTATTGGCACAAATATTTATCAGGACCTTTTTATCAGGACCAGTGATTTTTATTAGAAAGTTTTAAACCAAAAAATGTACTTACCCTCCATATTCGTAGACTAAAATTCAAATAAAAAATGAGTTAATGATAAAAAATATAATAAAAATTAATGAAATTTGTCTAAATTTGTTCTATAATATTAAGTCAGTCCTGTGCCACGAACTCCCATTATTGAATGTATTATTTTGGAGTTCCTGCTCATCTCATTTTTTATGACGTTATGAACGCATTTCCGTTTGAAAGTTTTGTCGCAAAGTTAAATATAGATATATATTCATGTTATGTCGCCAAATTTGTAAATTGCCATCGTTCGGTGCTGCCAAACTAAATATTAGTATTGCATTGTTGCCCCGAAATAAGCTAGTGAACGTTTTGTTTTCGAAACTATTATGAGGACGCATAAATTTTCGTTTGACCAATAAGAACTATAGTTTATGAAATATTCCTCGAGTCATAACCGAAGAGCACTAACATTACAATGGTTTCACCAACATCTCCCATTATTAATCCACATCCTAAAATATTTCAAATAAAGATTGTACGGTTTCATGTGGTCAACGTTTTGTACAAACCTAATAGCAAGTAAAACGGATGCTAATTTAGTAAAGTAAAATGTTTGAACATCAAGAAAGCGAGACAATAATAAACGATTTTGCTGTGATAGTATTATATCGATTCAAGTGCTTATGTCGTTTGCGGTTGCAAATTTACCTCGATATTTAACTGATAGCAATTTCCACTACAGGATTCACAGGGCTTTTCAGGTACTGGAGCTGCAAAACAACAAAGGCAACAAACAGTTAGACAATCATCGTTTCTAAATAATCCACTATAAAATGTTTTACTACTATTGGACACGACAAAAACGCCAGAGAAATGTAAAATTGTATACCTTGGAAATATTAGTAAACCTTTATTACTGCGGAAAATAAGTGATTTCTTACATATTTGCGATATCATGGGAGATCATCTGTATAATTATCGTAATTCTGATATGGGAATGGGAATCACTGGTCTCGAGTATCCAATTTGGCGATGAAAATCTTGTACATGCACGTGTTTGGGTCTTTTGTCGGCGCTCCAGAAGTGTGTGTACCAATATGATGGTAACTGATTTTGTTCGCCTACTTTACATCAAGTTGTGTAAAGGGACTGAAACCTATGGGCTGGGGTCTTTACTTGGCTAATACAGACAGCCCCCGAACTAGTAATAGGATTAAAATGAGGAAAATTGGAATAACATTATGGCCTAACCCGGTACACACACTAGGAGAATACCCTTTTGTCTTTGTTAAAGGTTGATTATATATTCCTCATATATATCCGTTACTCAATTAATAATGTCATAGTCAATGTCGTGAAACATGAGCTCCATTTTAAACTCGGTGCCAGATTACAACCGTGCTTAAAAATAACGCTTGTTTCGGGAATAGTATTTGCTGTGGCATTGCTTATTAATTTCTTTAGTTTCATGAATTATAAATTTAGTTATTGACGTTATATGAAATAACAGGAACTGAATAATTTCTCACCCAAATAAGCTCCAGCAGCTACGAACGGTAGTAGATATGTAAAAAGCATTTCAGCTGATTTTTCTGTATGTGTTTTGTCACTTGTATATTATTTGTCTCGTTCTGCAAATTGCGATATTTACGACACTATCATGCAAGAGAATTAAAGTGTGAACTGGACTAGCACTGAGATAAAAACAGCTTTTAATAATACCATATATTGTTTGTGCAAACCAATAAAATCTGCATCGTTCACTGACTTGTAAATACTGAGAAGTGTACCTTGGTTTTTGCACCTATTTGTTCTATATTAAATAATAAAACCTCAATGAATCTGGACTGGCTCGGGTTCTAATAAAGATAGCATCTACATGCAACATTGGAAGCACACCGTGTCTTCATGAATCAAAAATTAGGGAATCCTGCATCAGTCTAATGTTAGAATTTGAAGTCTGGCATAAGAGACATAATTTTAATTTCACCACACTTGATGCATACTATTAAAGCCAACATTGGAAGCACACCGTGTCTTCATGAATCAAAAATTAGGGAATCCTGCATCAGTCTAATGTTAGAATTTGAAGTCTGGCATAAGAGACATAATTTTAATTTCACCACACTTGATGCATACTATTAAAGCAAACGGGTTTATAACTAAGGAATATAGGAATACAATATTTTGCTCAAAGTCAAAATGGTGACGTCAATTAGTGGCCCTATAATAGAGATTGAAAACAAAAAAAAATACTTTGGCATTTTCACTGTTCTGTTCCAAATACTATTTGGAAATATTGAAACGATATTCTAAACGCAGCAATACAATTGTCCTGATTTTTTTTGATATGCTAATAAGCACATCTACACTCGTAATTTTATCGAGGTACATCAAACCACCTTATTATCAGCTCTCTGCGTTGACGAGTTATTGGGGTCTAATAATGTTCAACCATCAATACGAGAGCCCATTGCTCTGATAAATTCTACTTTCACTTTCACTGACAACACATCGAGTGAAACCGCCAACCTACTAGCATCGCTGGCTTTTAATAATCATATACAGTAATTACCACGCATAACTGTGTATAATTAATGAATGTGCATCATGCGACAAGATTGGTTCATTTGCCAAATGCATATGCAGTAAATAATATAACAGCCCACACATAAAAAGCAGTCGCCGTGTGCGTTATACCACGAAACTGTTGACTAATGACTTCCTTGTTGAATATCGAAAATTTGAATTTGAAAAATAATGAACGCGATCAAACTCTGAAAGTATATCATCCTTGCACAAAAAAACTCAAACTTTTTCACCGAGTTCTGCGTGACAGCAGGCAACATCAAAATCAACCAGAAATCAGCATTGTAGAAAAGCGAATGTGGACAGAAATGACAAAATGAAGGCGATAAGGAGGGGGGATAGTTGAACTGAAGGTACGTTGGATTTGGACCTGAAAAAGATAAATTACAAATATTTCATGGTTTTTTTATCATCATTTCTATATTTATCTTCTCCCTGTCAGCTTTGTTACTCTCTATATTCTTGTAATACAAATGATATTGATATTGAAAACATGAAAATCCAATTTCATGTAGAATTTTCATTAAATGGTTTGATTCGAAAAAGTATTTTGCGCCATTGTATCACATAGTCATAGACAGCGGACTCAACGACCACAGTACTATACGTGTGGTTCTATCCAAATACCGCTTCTGGGTGAAGTTCCTGAAAAATAAGATTTGCCTCTATGACTAAAAAAAACTTCAAAATCCACTTTTTTAAAACTAAGAGTTCCATGATGACTCGTACGTGTATGTCATTGATCAACTATCTTGTTTAGACTTCGACGTTTTAAGTATTTTTTTAACATCAACTAATATTAGATCATTTGTTTTTATTACTAGAATATAAAGAAAGACTTTATTAAACTGTCTAACACAATTTTTGTCCTTGGCTTTCAACTGTTATTTTCTAATCGCTTACAACCTCAAAACTGAAGAAAAATGACATATCTTCTCTAAATTCTGTTTTTATAAAGATTGTGGTGTTCCCTCAAATCGGGTTCTTTGATATAAAATAGAGTAGCCCAAAATTTCTCTTGAATATAAAATGCACTAAATAATAGTACCAGACTATTTTATAATGATTGTTTCACGCAGTTTTATATTACAAAAACTCGATTTTGGGGAATTCCCACATGTTCAACCAAACTTTGTAAAGAATTGAAGTTATTTTCTCAATTAACATGTCAAAATTTTACTGAAAATCAAGGTCGAAATCGGTGAACATAACCCATGAAATATTTTATTTTATCATTTTAGTGCCCATCATACCTGCGGTTCAACTATCTTCCCTTTATGCATTGGTCTTATTTCCTTCATTGTGTCATTTCACAATAATCACTGAACAAGTATTTAATAAATATGAATTTAGAAAACTTCTTGATGTTTTTTTTTACATTTTTACTACGAAATAATGTGCAAGCAAATTTTAAATTATTCATTTTGTATTTTATTATATTGGGATTCTTAACTAGCAGGCAATGAAAGATTTAAACAAGTTTATATAACTTTATTTAAAATGTCCAATCAATTCCAAAAAAATGTAAATTCTAGGAATGTAAGAGTATCTAGTTCAATAGTTAAATGGATTTTGAGTCGACTCGATACTATATGAATATTCCATTATTACAACTTTCAAATAGGTTATAAGATATTGGAAAGCATCATATACCTATTTCTCCAGACTCAAGGACGACATTTTCGTTATCCATATCTAACCAACAAATCACTAAGTGCTGTGATGTACTTATTTTCTTGATTTATCAGGTAGGCCCTTTTATAAAAATATTATTCAATCTAACATAAAAACTTGCTTGTATTAGTCTTTGACGTTTCAGGGTCTATTCTAAAACATGGTGTTCTGTTACATTATAAGGTTACGGAATTGCATTAGTTAAAGAACTAGTTCAGTTCATGAAAACTAGAAGTTTAGAGAAACCGCTGCAAAGGTTACTGCGTTAGAGTGAACAGGCAATCACTAAATATGCCATGGTCACCCACCCATGATGGTTGAATTGAAACTCATTAACGTTCAGGAATAAATATATGCTTTGTAGCTGTTGACATTGATAATAGAATAAGAAAATCAGAATATTAAAAATCACCGCGGGCATTAATCCATTGGATTCTCGAGGTCCTCAGGGATTTAGACATTTTTATATAAACAGTTTTTTCTCCCTGTTCAAACGTGCTAGAATTACCAATCAAGTATCGATGAAATTTTTAGATCTATTTACGCGTGAGGCTACCAAAGAGCGGATATTGCCATTCTCCCTACCATGTTGTGCTTGAGAATTTTCAATCAAAGTCAGCAGTAGTGAACAGAATAGCGATATCAACTACTTGTATATTGAATAGTACATTACTTCCCCTTTACAAATAAGTTAGGAAAACCGACCCGAGGTATAATTCTAGATCATCTATACTTTTTATTTTGCATGTGATATAATATCTAATTTGGTTTTGTTTGTGTCCATATTCGCGGTATCACAAACCCAATTTTAATCAATTTGTCATGCACCCAATCGATAGAAGTTTGCATATGTTGTATCAAATTTTCAAATCAAGGTGATGGAATTATAGCAAACAACCAACCAACGGAACCAATGCGGACAACCAATGTGACTTTTACAACAAATTATATATATTTTTAATTTGGGATTTTTATTAGCAACATTATTTAAATAATTTCAGTCTTCAATATTTTATATTTATATATATTTTTTTTTCACGATTACTAACATCTCGCATCTGTTCAATCTCTTCTATCTATCCTTATTAGAATTCCAACATGTAAAACAACTAACTAATCATCCAACCATTTAACAACAGTGTTAGATGACATTTGATACAAATCTCAACTGGGTCAGTCTATTCATAATGGGTATGGGTAATATCGAGGACACGACGCAGTTTCATCAGCTATATTCATTACTGTGAAACATATTTACCGTATTTTCCGGCAAATAAGTCGTTTTTCTAGACCCAAATTTTGTTCTTATTTTGGGAGGGTCGTCTTATTAGGCGAATATGATCATTTTCATTTTTTTGGTGTCGCCTTATTATTAAATCCGGACAATAAAATACATTCGGCGATAGGATCTCCCACGTCCTCATCAGGTTAGATTAAATAAATCGACATTACGGTAATGTAAAGTATATTTAATTCATTTTTTTGACATAAATTTACTCGGTGGGATATTATCGCTGACTCAAAGGTTTTTTCCTACCGTAAAACCCTCAAAAACAACATATAATCCCAATTAAATCAATGAAGCAACACATTTCGTTTTGTGGGGATTTCGAGGTGATGAATATGTATGTTTCATATAAACACTGTTGTATATTTATTCAAAAAAACTAAATATAATCAGGTAGTTAGGTAGTTTATCTCACATTATTATGTCAGCAGATTGCCGTGTTGTTTTAGATCGGTAAAGTTCGATCGAAATTGAAAGACAGTTTGAATTCGCGTAGTTGCTATGGATTGAATATTACGCTACAAGAAAAGTCATAATAGGCTATTTTAACCAATGCGCAAACGCGGCGACCGCTCAAAAGGCATTGCATGATAAATGAGATCCCGATGTTGATGCGATTTCACTACCCGTCTTATTGGCAGGTTATATGCATAAACCCGTTTAGAAACAGGCTTCGTCTTATTCGCCAGGTAGACTTATTCGCCGGGAAATACGGTAATTTATTTTATCCCATACTTGGGCCTTGTTGTCATACTCCATTGTTTTATTTAATTGGGAAACAGAGGGAGAAATTTCGAACAAATAACAAACGAGAATATCGGTCAGAGACCGAAGACTTATCGATTGAAAGTTAGGGGATCCCCAAAACCGCGCTCTTACTCCATAGTGACATCTTGTGACACATCACTAATTAAACAGACAGACAACTAGGTATCAACATACTTACCGATTAAAATCGATAAGTAATGAATGAGATTTACTACATAATGGGATTCATATCGAGACGAAAATAGTCTACATACTGTTCCAAACCTCATGGTTGATATATATATATATATATATGTTTTCACGCTTATGCTCTTAGCATTATTTGTTGCACGTCTGTTATACTGATCATACATGATAAAATATAAATATATCTTACGATATCTGAAAAAATTGGAGTTATCACAACTTTGTAAGTGTAAGTGAAACAATAATCTAATCAAAATATCATACATTTTCAATATAATTGAATCATATTTATATTAAATTGAAATATAATCATATATTTTGAAGGTTATCATTTCTAATATTTGGCTGAAACAATATGAATGTATGTAGTTTCAAGTTCCTAGAAATAAAACTCAATTCGAAAGAATATCCCATTTTTTAGAATAATGATTATGTTGGCAAGGAAGTATTCTATTGTCAGCAGTATCTATTTCGTAACGGGGGTTTTGTTTTTTATCAATTCTAAAAAAAAACATCATGTTTTAAAACAAGGGTTTGTTTTAAATCAAATTTTGTTTGTATTTTTTGTATTTTTTATTGAAATACCCCTTGCATCGCCGCGAAACTATGCCAAAACGTTGCATTCTGGCAGCTGCATATTTTCAAAAATATAAGTAACAATCTTATTTGACTTTTATTTCTATTGCGTACATTTATCGCCACAGTGGTATCTGCACCAAAGTCATAAGATTTTAATCGAAATGTTTATCCTACATACCAAAGAGATGTTTTGGGTAAGAAAGATCGTCAAACCAAGCTCATCGGCGAGAATCTACTGATTTAAACGATGAGACGCACTAGCCTAGACTATGCTAATTGTAAGAGTCCTCTGATGCAAAGACGCTACAACTAATCTGTTTTGGCGCCTTAATAAGGATTTCGAGCTTATGTATTGACGCAAGGTGGTTTATGGTCGCAGGGTCGTTCACGTAATGGCTTATCGGTTACGTCTTACTGCGCCAACCACGTTTTCGGTCGCACTGAACTACAGCTTGAGGAGGTGTGTATGGGCCTTTATCGATATTTATGGCGTTTTGAAGGATTTATTGCAAAAAAGAAGCGCTTGGCAAGTTTTTACATTCATTTTTCTTCAACCTATTTAATACAAAAAAATCAAGTAGCACAGTCATTTTGAACAATACAGGAAACAAAAACTTGATTTAAAACAATTCTTTTTGAACAAATCCCTATTCGTAACTATGATCTGAGTTTACAGTTTAAGTCGTTATTATACAGTTAAAGGGACTCATCAAGGCGGTAAAAATCATATATTCTATAACCGTAATGATTTTTAATTTGTATCAATTGCTTTGAAGTGACGCTAAAAATTTTGGTTCATACCAAACGAATACGTCAAATATTTTTTCTTTATATTTTCTCTAAAATTTAGTCCAAATTTGGGCATTCAAGACAACCACAAAAATATCAAATGCCTTTAAACTTATTATTATGAGATGTTCTTGAAAATTATCGATTACCAGTTTTCATTTAAACGATTAAATACAAATACTTAAAGAGACAAGCTTCAACATAGAACCGATATTACCAATATCCACGTTACACTCATTTCTCCGAAATTATTTGATGAATGATTAATTTTCAATGAGTAATAAGCAGGATTACTGTATTCGCTAGGAAATGCGTACATATGGTGATAAAATATGTTGCTAAATAAATACGAATGTTGTCTTTGCAATTCTTTACCAGATACAAATTATTGAATGAGTATATCAGTCCGTTTAAAATGATGGCCTCGTTTAATATTATTTCATCAGCTTTTTCAGAATGTTTTGAAGTAACAGAAGAAATTAGGCGATTGACAATGGAGGTAGATAATTTTATTCATGTAATATAGACTAAACCAGAAAACTAATTGCTTTGTCAATAGATAATAAAAATGTGTAGCTGCTGTTTTTAAGTGGAATTTCCTCAGAAAAAAGCCGCACATATACTGAACAGCAAGATACGCAGTGAGATAAAATTATAATATTTTATACGCAACCGGATATTTTTTGCACCCAACTAAACACACAACAAAACTTCGACGTATGCTATAGGAAAAATGTTTTGTGTAATATCAATAGGATATATTATTTTGGCGAAACACGCGTTAAAATCAATACGATTTTTTCAAAATCTGTATGATCTTATGCAAATGACTTATACTGAACCTGTTGTGGCAAACATGTTATTGGACACGAAATGGACATATGGATCGTTTTGTTATTATGTTGTTGTTGTTAGTATTTTTGTCTTGTTGTTGGAAAAAATGCTTTTCTCTCAAGCCACCGTACCAATTGATTTTAAAATTTTCAGTGGTCGAAGATTGTAATTTTCGCTAGAAGGCTATTACCCTTATTTATTCCTATATGCTCTATGAATCCTATGAGATCTAATATACCATTCCCAATTTCGCCGTGTTTTTTTTATTTTTTATTCATGGTAACACAGTTGTTAATTCGTCAAGCGTGACGGCTCTCTCCAGTTCTGGCTTTGCAAACTTGAGCTACGCGAAAGTCGGAGAGTATTTGATACCGGCACACACGATAGGTACGGTACGATAAACTACATTGTTTTGGCTTTCGTGTACATATATTTGAGAATCGCTCACCTGATTTGTGCATATGGTGTTATGTATTTTGTTTCACAGCTTCGAGCTAAAGCAGAAGAAGACGCGACAACTACATTTGATATATTCGAGCCTTTGAATTATCAAATCGCTGAAAAGAACGACGCCATTTTTTATCGCATACACGTGAGTTTTATTTTGTATCCGCGAGTATCCTGAGTTACTGACTATTTCATTTTATTTCAACATGAATTTTTTCTTTCTTAATTTGAATCAATGAAAATATTTGGGGGAACGTAATACATAGTGCATACATAGTACACAAAGGTACATAGAACACAATATTGTCAAACAGAACCAGAATAATTCGACCGACCATCCGGCATTTATAAAGCTGTTCTGATATTTACCTACCGAAATCTTTTTGTTGAGTCAGTTAAGTGAGTATTATTCCGGCTAAAGCGCTAACCTCAATTTAATTCGATATAATAATCTATAATAAACTTTTATTTTATAAAGATTCAAACGAGTTATCATACAAAGATTATAATCATCTGTAAAGGGGAAATGAGGAATGACAATGATGACAAATCTCAAGACGTTACCTTTTTGGAAATCGAAGGAATCTGAAAATGATCCCAGAGGCTCCCTAATGAAGTCCGAACACTATATCAGTGAAATTTTTCGATTTACTCATTCTTCCGTGTTAATAAGCTGCATAATAGAAGCAAATAGAAGAAAGCAAATAGAAGCAAAATTCTATGAATCAAATTAGTTTTGGGACATTCGTATTTATTACTTTTATATCAAAAATTCTCTAACTTCTTTCAACAAGTATAATTATTTATTGGAGACTTTCGCTAGAATTTCGTTCTCATAAGTGCCTGTATTTTAATAATATTTAAGACTTAAAAATTGTTAGAGAATTGAATAATGATTTTATATATATTTGATTATTATGGTTCAAACTTTAATTAAAGGATACACCTACAAAGTACATTATCGATTAGAAATGAGAAACAAATAGGATTTTCGAATCACTCTCATTTTTATACGTTCATTTATTACACATACGAATGCCATAGACATGTCCATATTTTTTACAGTTCAAAATAGGAATATTCCAGCCATTAAGCCATTTTCTTCCTTCTTTGTCATTTCCACTAAGTCGATCTGTTTTTTTTCTTTCTACAATCGCATTTACATGGTTTCTGCAATTAAAATGCACAGATAAAAAGTTATCAAATATTGTACATGACAAATATTGTTTTTGATTTTGTATTTATAGGACGAAAATTATTATAAAAATTACCGTTGGTATCGCAGAATTTTCTACTTGTCGACCAAAAATCGTGAAATTTTTGCAGAAAAGCGGATACAATAGAAACGAACGAGAACCTATAGGCTGTAACTTTTGCTGATACACATTTTTAGGATAAACTGAGCTGACATCAAAATTTTAATATTGAAAGATATAAAATTGAAAATATAAATAAAACATTCAAATAATTGAATTTTATTCACTTAAAATATAAATTATCTTAATCAGAACAGAGAAGGTATATTTCTTTACCTTAATTGTAAGATATCCTTGGTACAGTTTCCCATTTTCTTTGTAGATTGTCAACATCTCACCAACGCACCAAATGGTCTGACATTCATATTTGTTTATTGAATGTTTGCCACACTGGGCACATACATTTTGAGGAAACCTTGAAAATAAAAACATCCTGGTAGATGTATTTGTAAAAAATTTTGGTGTTCCCGAAGTATTCGTACCAGGGCATTTCCCTTAGGATACTATGATTTATTTTGCCTTACTCAATTCCCACATTGGTACGAATACTTCTGGAGCGCCGTATTCGTACCAATGTAGGGATTGAGTAAGGCAAAGTATTCTTAAAGGAAAGTGCCCTGGTACGAATACCACGGGAGCAAAGTATCCCGAAGGAAAATGCGCTGATACGAAGACCACGGGAGCAAAGAATCCCAAAGGAAAATGCCCTGGTACAAATACCACGGGAGCAAAGTAACCCGAATAAAAAGACCCTGGTACGAATACCACGGGAGCAAAGTAACCCGAATAAAAAGACCCTGGTACGAATACCACGGGAGCAAAGTAACCCGAATAAAAAGACCCTGGTACGAATACCACGGGAGCAAAGTTTCCCGAATGAAAATGCCTTGATACGAATACCACGGGAGCAAAGAATCCCAAAGGAAAACCACTGATACGAATACAATGGGAGCAAAGAATCCCAAAGGAAGAAGCCCTAGTACGAATACCACGGGAGCAAAGTATTCCAAAGGAAAATGCCCTGGTACGAATACCACGGAAGCAAACATCCCAAAGGAAGAAGGCCTGGTACGAATACCACGGTAGCAAAGTATCCCAAAGGAAGAAGCCCTGGTACAAATACCACGGGAGCAAAGTATCCCGAATGAAAATGCCCTGGTACGAATACCACGGGAGCAAAGTATCCTAAGGGAAATGGCCATGGTACGAATACCACGGGAGCAAAGTATCTTAAGGGAAATGGCCCTGGTACGAATACGTCTGGAGCGCCTTGCATTATTGCATTTATAATTTGTAGTTCAAACTTTTTGATATTATCTAAGCTTCGGTAATTCGCATCTGTATGCATGAATTTACTTCTCGTATCATACTGGCAACTCGATATACAAAAAAATTAATGATGTCATAATGTGATTTGGTCGTGAAATTTTTTTTAAAGTTATTGTCACCATGCTAAAGTTGAATAAAGGACACGAAAACACATTGTACGTAGTAAAACGTACCTGCATTCCACCGCGACATGTTTAAACGGCCTGTAGAGTTCAACCATTTTGTTACATTTAGACGATCCATATTGAGTGATGTGAAAGCATTCTCTATCTGTACAATTTGTGTTCCTAACTGTTTTCTTCTCTGTTTTGGGTACCTCGTCTGGCTCTGATGACAATCTGCCAAAATACAGTGTACTGTATCAGGTGTATTAGCTACAAATGTATTCTAATCACACAAAAGCAAAACGCAATTTCTGTAAAATTGTAAAACCCACTTGGCACAAAACATGGAAATTAGCTAAATACCTGATCGGATAACATTTGGGATATTTGCCGTAAACAAAGTTTTTATCTCTGGGAAAATCAAATTTCAACGCCTCAGTTTGAGAAACCTGTAATGTAAAACGTGACTTCACGTTATCATTATTGTTTTTTTTTTAAATAAATATGGTATATTAATAAATACATACCTTTTCATCAAATTTATTGAAAAATTCTGACGGTACGAATTCTCGCATGTTTTGCCAGTTTGCCTGCGCTCGGACTCCTGCCATTAAATAGACTACAACAATAATTATCAGCATCATCTTGTGCAGACAGTTCTAAATATGTCCAGATAAGAAATAAAATAAAAATTCCTGGCAGGCGAGAAATAAGTTTTTAATCGGAAAGTCCGTTCTTAGGTTTCCTATCTGAAATTATTCCCGGACATGAAAAGTGTGTCCTATTCCGGCATCTGACAAAAAATAATGCGGCATGCACATACCGCAGCATGATATATATTAATAGAAACGAAGTGTTTTTTCCGTAATCAACATTTCAGTGTATTTTGTTGACTAAACCAGATTGAAAACGAGAGAAATTTTTCAACTTTTTTTTTATCGTGAAGTGTATGTGTCGTTTACAAGACAAGCTGTGCAACGCCCAATATCACACTGTATATGTATAGCACCGTGGCTCATGTAATAAATAGTTTATATATTGGTAATGCATTTTTCAGAGATAGGCATTGAAACCATTTATTAAAAAAGGTAGTTTGTTCTAATTTCTATTATTTCCCTCGTAGACGCTGCACAAATCAATTTTGGGAAAACTTACTTCGACAGCAGCTGGTGGTATTGTTCCATAAATTTTTTTATTCGCGGTACCATTGACGTTTTTGCTGAATTTATTTCTTTACTAAGCGTAGTTTCATAAGGCCAGCAGAGCGAAATAAACCAAACTGAGTGTGAAGAAAAGATTATTCGATTAATAGTAGGCTACGCGTTACACGACGGTGGCAGTGAAAATGCTAATACATTTCATGAGCGTCGTGATATATGCCAATAGAAATATAAGAATGACGAGGTTTCATGTTTTTGCAGTTGTATCTCTAACACAAGCATATGATGCTCTTATTAACACATAAGCGCGTTTCATTTTGAGGTTAATTAAAACGTTTTGCATTTTAAGAAAATAGCCTAACTAAAGAATACAAATACGTTACATAGGATATATTACTTTAAATTAATATCGAGATAAATAAAGAAACTTTGTCAATTTCGATAACGTTTCTTAGTACTGTTTATGAAAATGTGGTTAGGATATACAGGTTTTTGTGTATCGCAGACGTTACCCTGATTCACGATTTCCACAATCGCATAAACAGATCTTTAACAAACTTACATATCACCAAACTTTATGATACCGCATATGAACTTAACACACAATTGACAGCACGCAATTCTCACAAACACCGAAAATCAGGTAATCTGCGAATTCGTCAAATAAAGCTTTGCATTTTACAAAATAACCGTAATACTGTGCTTTTGATATGATATGTATCATTGAATATAAAACATTTATATTTGATTATTGAGAAAGGTATGTTTGGTATACATCCAAATCATTACTCAATGCAAAGTTTATGATAAAATTGTCCTGCTGATTTTTTGTAATAACAAAAAATGTATTCGCATAATCTGTAATAACTGTATCTTCATTACACAACACAGCATCCTATCACAGCATATCCTATCCTATCACAGCATATAGATAGATACACAGGGTGTTATACAAGGTCTTATGAAATCTGATAAATGTAATGGACCGATACATTCTGTATAAAATCTATCTGACGTAAACCGAAGATGAATTTTGTTTGGAAATTTTATTCTTCATCTCCAAACAAATTCATATTCGCATCGGCAATCTATTTGCACTTTACTTGCAACCTCAATAGACAATTTTTTTAGATTTGCCTACTCCACAAATAATTAGATAATTACAAATTTACCTTTTCGACCTCAATAAAATTTTATAAACAGTTCTTTAAAAGACTGAAATAGCATAATTATTTTAATTTTCAAATTTCAAGAACTAGGAAAACTTTTTTCCTAACGAACTTTGTTTACACCAATTTGATATGATAAGGACATATGTCTGAATACACAACTTCACAACTTACTTTGGCTGTTTTTTTTTTACCTAGTTGATAGCAAGAAATCTCTCCTACACGTTTTAAAAGATAAATAATCTATATTTTGCAGTTATTTTGAATAAAAACGTGTTATTTATAAGTAAATGGATATCGGGTTTCATATTTTGTATATTTGAAAATTTCGTAATTATCCAACTTGTAAAGTTATCGACTCGAGTTATCTCAAGTTTGCTTCAAAGTCCCAATCGCTTTGATACGCTAAGGTTCAATTATCTTTTATTTTAATTTATCTGTTTTAATTTTACTCACTTAATCATCTGCATTTCTTTAAAATTCTCTGTACATCGGCAGCATCTTGGTGCTAATTCTCCAATTTCAGCCACGTAATGCAGATTGGTTTGTTTCGTATATAATAGCGATTGACGGGTTTCGCTATCCAACCCCTGTTATGAATTTGTATAATATTTCTGTGTATAAGGAAGCGAAGGGAGAAAGAGTTGAGAATTTTAAAGAGAAACAAAGTATGTTGTAAAATCAGAAAACTGTTTTCAAAAATTGAAGCACATTTTACCTGAATTTTATTTTAGCAGCTTTCGCAAACATTTTGAGGCTCTCCTACGGAAGGTATGGAAGCCAAATTTGATTTTTGCCGCATTCATTACAACCAACATTTTCACATGCTCTGCAGTTAATCCTTAAATATTATAGGCTATTTATTAAACTAAAAAATTGTTTGTCTGGCATTTTTTGTTTCAGCGCGTATCATTTTTTCGTTACTCCTAAAGTATGTGAAACAAGATGACAGACACCGGAACGCATTATGTGAACCAGGTTAGGGTTAGGCCATAATTTAAAGCAGGGCTACTCAACTGGCGGACCGCGGTCCGAATCCAACCTTTCACTTTGGACCGCGTCTGCTTGTTTATTTTGGCAGCATAAGCATCGTTTTATGGTTTTGGATGATTTTGATACTATTCAAATACACAGCTATACAGATTGCCGTACTGGTACCGATATGCGACATTTGTGTCCGTATTTTTGAGCCATTCATTGCTCTTGTATTTAATTTAATATGGCATTCGAAGTTTCGTTTATTTAATAAAATAAATTTTCTGTGATGTCCGGACCTCAGCAAGTTTGAAGTTTTGTAAACGGACCCTTGGTGAAAATAGTTGCCCAGCCCTGATTTAATGTACAAATATACGGGAGTCACCTGGCTAGTCGCCGAACTCGTAATAAAACTAAAACAAGGAAAATTAGAATAAAATTATGGCCCAAACCTAACCTGGTACACATACTACGTTTCGGTGTCCGCCTTCCTGGTTCACATACTTCGGGCAAACCATTTTTTTTGGGGGTCATTTGGTTTTGAACGAAATAATAGCGTTAATGTTAGACCGGGATCATGAAATAGAAAAAAATCAGACATCTCCTTCGATGTTGTAAACGTAATAAAAAAAATTTTATTTCTGGGATAAAGAATGCTTGAATCTCTAATTTTATTTCAACGAAGCAAATAAAAAATACACTTGCTTTACCAAAAATAAAAAATGGAAAATCGCGCCAATGCGAATGAAATGTGTAAAAAAATACCATGGCGAGTAATAATAAAATGAAGATAGCTATGCTCAAATATATGGACACGGAATCGAAAGTACTTTTCGTACCGTACATACTGTTACCGGTAGCATATCAAAAAAACATTTGAGTTTCGCCCTATGTCCTGGAAAATCGTAAACCGCTGTCACGATTGGCGGATTCAAAACCCAGTTGCCGTGAATAAAAGAAAAATTTCATCGAATAAACAAAATTAATAGACTTCTAGCGACGACAACAATCTTCAACTACTAAAAATTTCGAAGCAATTAGTCCAGTAACGAATGAGGAAAGTGATTTTTACACAACAAGAAGAAGAAGAAAAGGAATTCCAACAAAAACAGCAACTTAATATCAAAACGATCGTTATGTTCATTAAGTGTTCAAAAATTTGAATGGCTCGGAGTAGAGCAAATGGTATAATCTACGATACACAAGCATTTTGTTGATGCAAGAAACTTACTGATCATACCTGGGGTCTATGGATGCATGTTCACAATTATGGCAATTCTGAACAAATTTGACTCAACGGAAGGAGGTTTCTTTTTCATCAAATTTAAATTTAAAACAAAGTAAAAATATAAAAATGGAAGACGTAGAAAAAAAAACATATATTACTGTGGAATGATATCAATCAGTTGATAAGTTTTACTAACTATAACAGAAGTCTTTTGTCAAACAGAAGAGTGATGCCTAAATATATGAACACGGAGTAGCACGCGTAAACGGTCTTTCATAGTAGCCTACCGGTAACCACAGTTTACGACTTCGCTGTACCACAAGATTGTTGACGCGACGCCGAAATCGCCACATGGAGCGCTATTGTTAATTTTGATGACGTACACAAAAACCGAACCTCCTAAGCCCACAAAAATTTTTGAAATAAATAAAAGTAATCGCCTTCTAGCGAAAAATACAATCTTTAACCTCTGAAAATTGCGAAGCCAGTAATTAAACAGAAAGCGATTTTTTAATTTGGATAGGAAAAAAATTCTAAGAACAAGAACAACAAAAATTCAACACAACGACTCTTATGTCTACTACGTTTTACTTGATAATTCCTCTTGTTCGGTGGAATACCCAGTCAACAAAAGTACGCATGTAGGGTTTATAAAAGGCAAAGTTTGACTGATTTTAATACGATCGTATCTGGTCGTACTGTCTAAAAAAGCAGGTGTTTAGAATTTTTGAAACAGTATAAATACTTGGAAATACAGAGTAAAGCATTTAGACTCCTCGATCTGCATATGTTTTTATCCTAATAACGGGGACGTATTCCTAGTCCTGTTTATGGGAATTATAAGACATAGCCATGAGTTTTTAAAAGGGTGGTTCTGAAATTTGGGCTTCAAATGGAAATTGCGGACTGAATGAATGTTTCACTGAGCATCGAATTCCTTGTTTACTTCGAGACATTGGCCAATAAGCAAGATGCAAAGAGTGACGTATTTTCGCATCGGCTCAGACACTTATCTGGCTCAGACAGATTTTCAGGCGTCGTCGTAAACATTACCTCGTTTTCGCGTGTTTGAAATCTATTCGTTAGTTTTTAGTTGTGTTTCGGATATTTAAATATATATATATCAAATATTTCAATGATCAATTTGTCTTCTCGGGAGTTTCAGTTTAATTGCAGTAATCAAAAATTAGTGTAGAAATAGCTGCGGTAGACTAGGCTAAAATTATTTACCGTTACCTCTAAAAACACATTACTGAATGTTATGAATCAAAATGATGGTTTTAAACAAAAATACCCCATTTTACAGGCGCCAACCCGCAAAAACACTCTTAAGAAAGCACCTAAAATTTTGCAATGGTAAAGTATAGGAAGAATTTTATGGGGGTTAAAGGTCGGGGAAAGGTCCATAAATCGCCTTGTTCGGTGGTCACAATCACGTCGCTTCTGCTTGACGGCATCCGGTGCCATAAAGTTTTGTGCGCTTTTCCGCCGTGGCAAGTCGCGCCTATTAGTCGTCGTTTTTTACACATTCCAAAGTGGGAGGGGGGCTGGGGGTTCGATCTGCATTAATGGTAATAACATGAATCGCATCATGTTTTTTGTACAGCACATCGCATGACTTGCCACTGAAATGACGTACAGTGTTTTTATAATATTAATTGCTGACAAATAGCGCTCAGCTGAGGAGTACGTAATTCGATCATCTTTGGTATTTTGTGATTATTATCACAAGATTGATTATCGAGATCCGTTATTACTAAATTATCTCGTTTAAGTATTTTGCTATTGTAATTAAAAGTGGAAAACTTGATACTCTGCAGAAACGTTAAAATTAGGGATCGTGTTGTTTTATTTGCGTTAGTAATTAAAA